AAGAGCCTGGAGAGTCCTCCCTTGGACTTTGGAACACTCGGTGACCTTTTATAGAAAGGCCTGGACAGGTCAGAGGAGGCTGAGAGACTCCAGGCAGTGAGGGAGGAGGGGGCGGAGTCAGCAGGCCACTGGGGATTGAGGGGCACCCCGGAGAGCAAGTTGCTGGTGAGCCCTCACCGTTCTCACAGGACCTTTCTATCTTCCTCCCCCTCCTTGTTTTGTGCCTCCCCCTCCTGAGCTTTTCTTGACTCTTCCACTTTAATCTCTTGCCTGACCCAGAATAAGCGTATGAATATTGAAAACTCTTAGTCTCCTTACCAACTATGGGTCAGCAAACTCTTTCTGTAAAGGGCCAGATAGTAAGTGTAAATATTTTAGGCTTTGTAAGCCACATACAGGTATACAGTATCTGACACATAGTCTTCTTTGTTTGGTTGGGGTTTTTTTCACAGCCCTTTAAAGATGTAAAGTCCATTCTTATCTCATGGGCTAGGGCACAAAAGGGAGCTGCGGGCAGGATTTGGCCCCCTGGACAGAGTTCACAGCCCCCTACTATGGATCTGGAGAGACGTTCCCCCCCCCCCCCCAACACAACATATCTGCCCAGTTCAGTTTGAATTTCAGATAAACAATGAAGACTTTTTTTAGTATAAATATTTCCCAAACATTGTGAATATTTTCCCTGGCATCCTCCCGTGGAGGCATCATGGACTTGCCCGCTGCTGCTTACTGGGCCCTTGGTGGAGTGTTCCCATGTAACTCACACAAACCTTCGAGGCAGGTATGATTATCCGCATTTTACTGATGGAAAAGAAATAAAACCCCAAAGCTCAAAGTGGTAAAGTAAATCACCCCAAGTCATATAGTCAGTTAGCGACAGACTGGATTCAGAGCCACTCCCCTGATGCCACAGCCCACCGTCTTTCTGCCCTACCACACCCCTTCATTCCAACTGGCAAAGAAAGTTCTAGAGAGGTGAAGGCACTTGTGCAGACATTGAAGAATGATGACAGAAAGCACAGCCCATCCTAGTCCCACTGCGTAGAACTCTGACATGAGCAAACTGGGAGCCATCATGAACATCTTTTAGTTCAACCTTCTCCTTGGAAAGAAACTGAGACCCCAGCTTATGCAAAGTCCCAGGGCAAGCCAGGGACCAGATGGCCTGGGGCATGGGTGTCTGGGCATTTAGAGTCACAGGTGTGTGTGTGTCACTCCCTAGCTTCAGAGTCTGTTTTCCACTACTTGTCTCTGATTCAGAGAGCTGGAGGCCACAGCGAGGAGAGTGTCTGTGTGTTTGTGTGTGTGGTTTGTGCATGTGCGTAATGTGTGGCATGTGCATATGGATATATGTGTGTGTGGTATATGCATGTGTGTACCTATGTGCATGTGTATGTAGGGGAGAGGGAAAGGTAGGTCCAGGGGTGGGGTGTCTCTGTGGGTGGGTGTAGGAGGCCCACCCTCAAACCTAAAGGGAAAGCAGCGATTCTGTTCCTATTGTTGGGCCCAAGGCCAGGCTATAGCACCCTGAGTAAACAGTGCAGTTCGATTAGCTGCCTTCCCCACCCACCCAGGGGTCAGTGGGTGCGAGCTGGGTGGGGGGAAGCTTCTGGAACCCAAACCTTGAACCCAGGACCTTTGTGCCCATTAAGCCACTGTTTTTCTGTCTGCTGACCCACCCACTTTCTCTGTCCTATTGGGTTCCAGGCAAAGACCCCATTTCAGTGCCTGGTTGGGGAGGAGATTAGCCGATGAGGTATTTGCCACGTAGGGAGGGAGGCTACAGGAGGACTCTGTCATTCCCAACTTTCCTTTCCTTCCTTGGCTTCTTCCACCTAGTGCTGACTTTGCATGGGTCACCATGACAGATGGGAAATTGAGATTCAAAATGGGCAGGGAGGGCTGGGAGGGAAGGAGGCAGTGTGCTGGATACAAGCTTCTGCCGACAGTGCCCTCTCAGTTCTTGAACTCAACATCACGTGCTTGGACGTGAGGGAAGGTGGGCCAGGGGGTGGGTGACACTATCCACATGGGTTCTCTCACATCTTAAAGCCACACTCCCTATACCTCTCCAGGATTGCTGGCTCCAAGGGGACAGGAAGGATGCCCTGGTGCTCCTCCTCTCTTGAGGAGTGTTGCATGGCTCCCTGGCCCGCTCCAAGGCCTGTGCTATTCGGTGCTTGGGCAGCACTTCCTGAGATGGAAGGACTCGGTTGGTTCTGCAACCCAGAATCCAGGACTCGAGCGTCCAAATATAGGAGGCTGTAGGTGAAGGGGGTGAGGGAGCAAGACGGAGATTGGAACTCATAGGAGGATGGTCACAGTTACCAGCCTCACGTAGTGAGACTTGCCATCATACCCTCTCCCCTTGCCCAGAATCTAAATTTAAGAAGACTTTTATGACTCTAGGCAAGTCATTGTCCCTCCCAATGGTCCCATCTGTAATGACAAGTGTATGGACTTGGAATGGCTGACGTCCAGTCTGCCCCTCACCTCATGGTGGTCAGTCTCTGATATACCCTTGGGAGGACTGAAGGGGTCAGAGCCCATGGGGAAGGAAGGACTAGAGGATCAAGCTGGACTGCGTCTGGAACAGGCCGAGAATGCGCAGAAGGCGTCTAGCCAGTTCTTCCTGCCTCAGGCTGAGCTCGAACTCCAAGCAAAAGTTAGGTTCTCAGAATTCAACGGTGGGGCCAGGACCACTAGTTTGTCAACACGAGTATGACTGGCCTCCTCTGGGGGCCACATTGGCAGGGGTTGGAGGTGGTCAGGGAGGTGATGTGTGTGTGCATGTGTCAGTATGTGTAGGACTGGGGCCCAGCCCTGATTGGGGGTGGGGGAGCTGCTTGATGCTGATTTCTGCATTTCGGGCACAGTTTCTCAACCTGGGCACCATTGATATTTTGAAACAAATAATTCTTCAGTGTGGGGCTGTCCTCCGCATTGTCAGATGGTTAGCCACCCCTCACTGGGTGACAGTAGTGTTCCCCCTTTGCTCAGTTGTGACAACCAAAAATGTCTTTTGACATTACCTGTTGTCCCCTGACAGGTAAAATCACTCTCCATTGAGAACTGCTGCTTTAAGGCAAAAAATTATGTATAAGTATTTTTCTTCTGGTTTTGTACCTCTTTTGTTTACTCTCTGTCTTTCTATTTCCGTTTCTCCTCCCTCCCTGGCTCTGTCTCTCTGAAGTTGTATCTGCTCCCTTGGTCTTAGTCTCTATGCCGGTGTGTATGGGGCTTGTGTGCATGTGTGTATGTGAGGCGTGTGTGTGTGGTATATGGGGGATATGGTGTGTGGTGTATCCTGTGTGTGTGGTTGTGGTGTATGATATGGGGTGTGTGTGTATCTGACCACGACTCTGTGGTTTCTTTGTGAACCCTAGCTTTCTTTTTCTTCTTTCTCTTGCTCTCTACCCCTTTGTTTTTTTCCTTGTTGCTAAGTGCGTCACCCCATCCCTGCTCCCTACGCCCTCTTAGAGGGTATCTCTTTAGCTCTGTTGTCATGAGCAGGGTTGACTAGGCAGGCCAAGGGGCTGGAAGGATGGAGCCAGCACAGGGCAACAAGGTCTAAATCGCCGCTCCCTCAGCTTGGAGTTTGTTCCAGTCACTGAGTTCACAAGCCCTTGTTTGCCCGCCCGTGAGGCCGTTCAAGGAGTAGATGACTGATCAGCAGGTAAACACACACACATACACACGTGTCATAAGTACCGCCCAGGGGTCAAGCAGGTTGGTGTACTGCTAAAATGTCTGCCTGGGAGCCAGGTGAGCTGGGCTCTAGTGCTGGATCTGTGGCTACCTAGGTGGCAGTTTGTGCAAGAAGCCCTCTAAAGTCCTTTTCAACTCAAACCTTCTGTGATCCTGAAGAAATATGTCATGTGGTTCCACGTATACCGAAGGAAAGATAAAGGCACTTTAGCTTTCACAGGTCAAAAGGTCTAAATTCATGCAGAACCATCATGTACTTTTCCCTAAAATGTGATCTTTGTCCCCAGTCCCATCCCAGTTGTTCTCATCCCAGTTATTTATTGTAGCTCCATCCCTTTGCCCTCCTCTCCTGCAACCTCTCCATCCTCAAGCCACCTAAGCCCTCACGCCATGGTGACATTGGAAAGGAGCTTCAGACTCTGTGTGCTTTCTTGGAAAGATCTGGGGCAGGCAAAGAAGGTGGTTGGAGAGCTCAGTTGGTGGTGGAAACAGGGCTTAGGGGAGAGGGAAGAGGCCGTGACAAACCTCACTGTGTGGCTAGTTCCACCTTCTCAGATATGGATGTGCACTGTATTTGACATATATTTATGTAGGGTATATTTTAGGTCAAATGAATCAATATGTTGTAGCAATGTTTTAGAACAGTTGTGTGTGTGTGCGTATGTGTCTGGTGTCCTTCTAAGTCTGTAGATTTTTAAATTCATAGGCATTGGTCCCCCTGGACCCCTACCCCTTTGCAGAATGTGCCCAAAGGGCATAGATGGGCATATGGATGTGAGCATCTTCCCCTTCCCTTGTCCATTTCCCTCCACTCTCGGCCAGTTCCCCTCCTTCCCCACCTCTGCATGGGAGATCGTCTGATCCAGCCTTGCTAGGTTTGTGGCCCCTTTTGCCTCTCAATGATTTTGAGCTTCTTGTTTCCTAGGTCCCCCATCTCAAAGGTCACTGAGTGCTGCTTGGGGGAGAAGTGGGGGTGCTGGGTCTCCTGGTTTGTGAGAGGAGGCCTGAAGCTTTAGAAGGAGCCTCATCAAGAGCTCTGACCTCACCCTCTCTCTTGAGCCCTCTGCAGGCTGGAGTCATGATTCATGGCCCCAGAGTGGCCCCTCTGGAGATAGGGCAGTGTGCAGGATGGTGTCATAGTCCACAGCCTTCCAGCTGGCCAGGCTTCCCCAAGCCTCTTTTTCCTTTCTCCTTTTTTTCTCTCTTCCTCTTGAGACCCTGAGGGTTTCTCCCTTCCAAAGCCAACCCCTCTGTTCTGCCATCTCCCCCTATCCTCTTTCATCCCACCTTACCTGGCCCTAGTGTCATTTCGTTCAGGCTCTGAAATCAACCAGGAGTGAAGCTGGTGAAATGTGTGCAGCCCCCAAATAGCTTTCCCAATATGCCAAATGTGCCATGAGGCTGGCTTCTGGAAGAGGCAAAACAGAGAACAACTGATATGTAATCAGGACAGCTGCATTCCAACCCCAGTTTGACCAGAAATCACTGTGGGACCTTGGCCAAGTCACTTACCTTTTTCAGTTTCCTGGTCTGCAAAAATAAGGATTCTTAGGTTCTTAAGATTCACTGTTCCTTTCAACATTGTCCACTCCCCCAGGTAGCCCCCCTCAACTTCTACATGCAGAAAAGGTAGAGCTCAAAAGCAGCCTCATTTCAGAAAGGGCTCTTATTTCTCGGGCTAAATCTGTCTCTCTTTGTCTCTGAAACACAGGGGCAGAGGCTCCAAGTGGCAGGGGGAGAGAGAGAAGGTAGGCCGGCAGAACATGGGGACACATGGCTTCTGATCATCCTCTAGACTGATAAATGGCAAGATCCCGTGACCCCGGTCATTCTGGGTGAGGAGAGGGAGAAGCTCCCTCACCAGGGAGATTCCCAGAGCTCAGGGAGACAGCCTGAGACAGGGCTGGGGACCAGGTGTGTGGTCATTCTGACAAGGCAGGAGCGGGTTAACTCTCCACTCCACTTCATTCCACTCCTGGCAGTGTCCAGACACTGGGCTCAGGGCAGGTGAGAAGGAAGCCACTGGGCCACTAAGCCCAGAGTAAACAGTCTTGGCTTGGGACTCAGGAGACGGGATCCACCCATTATCCCAAATCAGATCATTGCTATCAAAAACCCCAAAGAAAGGCAAGACGCTTTTCCAAAAGCATGTGTTCAAACTGGAAACCACAGCCTTTTCCAGCAGCAGCCCTGCAGTGCAGCATTTTATCAGTAATCTTCCTCCAGTTTGTCCCCATTTGCACTTCTTATGTGTTTTCTCTCCCCACCCCAGCAAACTTAGTGAAAGGGCAGCGGGGCTGTGATAAGAACTCTTTCAAATTCTATTTATTTAGCACAAGCATTCACTCAAACACCCCAGCACCTCTGTCATAAAAACCAAGCAAAATTCCAGACTCATTCTGAAAGTAGGGGCAGTTTTTGAATGTGCACAGCGCTGTGCCAGCCATGGGAGGGAACAGCAGGAACAGGCAAGCGCACTTCCTCCTCAAGGCCTGGGGCTGAGAGTCAGGTATAGGGATCAAGGAGCAGAACAGAGAAGGAAATGCGCTGGGGTCCAAGAGACTGCACACTAAGAGGCAGGCCTGGGAGGAAGCTCTGGGCCTCCTCTTCCTGCAGCTGGGCCTATAAGTTCACCTTGATGGAGCAGCAGCAGGGAGGGGAGGGAGGGCCTCCCCCTGGACTGTGAGGCAGCGCCAAGCTAGGGCATGAGGGGCTGGGCAGACTGTGGCAGATACCAGAGCAGGGCACCGTGGCAGACTGAGAGGAGGGTGGGGAGACTGAAGCCAGGGGGCTAAGAGGTGATGTCCCAGCTGGATACAGGAAGGAACCCAAGCCAAGCAGTACGTTCTCCAGAAGGCTGTTGGGCAATTCTGGACCTACCTAAGCACCAGGAGCCTGAAGTGTCTAGTCAGCCACTACAATAACAGTAGCTAGGAAAGAAAGAAAAAGATGGTAGCTATTCTGCACCTCGCCCTCCTCTCCTGCCCCCAGCCACAGGCTTCCCGGACATGGTGGTGGCCCTGTGCGTGTGGGAGTGTGGCTGTGGGGTTTGTGTCGACACGTAAGCACTGATACATGCATGAGGGCATTTGTGGAGTCTACAGTGATCTCTTGATAGGGATCTGTTCGCAGGCTCTGAGGAATGGCACATCATCCACATGCCGTGCCCTGGGGGCACTTCTCAGGTCACTGGCTCCCCTCCCTGAGCCCTCCTCCTTCTCCTGGCCTTGCTGAAGTTCCCAACTCCAAGAGCTGACTTTGATGTGTCCCCTAGCTACAGGGAAGTCCAGAAACCATTATGTAATCAAGGGCTGGGCCTAAAATACTTGTGAACAGACCAGAGTGCAGGAGACCTCAGAGCCCAGGGCTGCCTGTTGGAATCTACATTGAAGGTGTCAGTGGGTGATTCTGTGGCTGAGGTTGTGTGCCCATCGTCGAGGGTGGCTGATGGATGTCCTAAGACATTTACTCTGAGTTATGCAAGTGCCTGTGAGCTAGCATTGTACTGAGTTGTCTCTGAGACCCTCCCCTGTGTTGGCCCTTGCTGCACCCTTGGTATAGAGGGTAGACCCTATCCACTCAGGTCTGGATTTTTCCATCTGTCCATACAGGTAGGTAAGGGAGTCGTTGTGAGGACAGGTCTCTCCAGGAGCCCAGGAGCCCCAGTTACTGTCCTGCTCTGCACTGGTCTGTGACCTCAGTCATACAATCTCTCTGAGAATCAGCTTCCTTGTCTGTAAAATGAGGATAAGAATTCTTCCCTATTATTCTACAGGGTTGTTGTTTTTATTAAAGAAGATAATGGCAATGAAGAGACTTTATATGCTGTACCGTATCATATGAAGGCAACTCATTGCTTTCTCATCTTTGCTTGGGTGGGAGTATTTGAAATTGAGCGCATCCAGGAAATAACTTTCTGGTAGAGACCTTAGAGCTGCCTTGTCTCAGGGATCCTGAATCTTGTAGTGGAAGGAGCACAGACCTTAGGGCCAGATAAATTTGGATTCAAAGTCACACTCTGCTAATTACTGGTTGAGTAATGTTGGCCAAATTAGTCCACCTCTCTGAGCCTCAGTTTTTCCGTCTACAAAATGAGCACAGTCGTAGTCACTTGAGCTTGCGCAAGGCCCTCACCCTCTCTGGGCTTTAGTTCCCAGTTGTAAAAGGAGACTAACAACAGCTAAGGTGCAGCAGGTTCATTGTGAGAGTTGGATGCTACAGGCTCAGAGGCACGTGGCTCACAGCAAATGCACAGTGATAGCCTTTGTTTCTAGTCTGTCATTCACTTTTCTGCTGCTTTTTTTTGTGTCTTAGAGACTTTTCAGGGAGCAACTTACTCTCCCATGGGCCAAACCCCCCCATGAGACTAGAGCAGATGCAACTTCAGACTGTTACCACTTGCACAAGGTGGGTTTCTGTGTTATTCATCCCATGGACCTCACCCCCTATCCCTCCCAAAGAAACTGTTTAAATCTAACTCCTTGTTCATTGTTGAACTGAGTAGGGAAGAAATCAGGTGTATGGCATTTCCCCTATACCAGACTCTGTAACCACATCAGTCCTGCCCCTGTTCAAGGAGATGCTTTACATTAATTATCTGGTTTATAAACTCCAGCTCATTCCTTGCAGCTCAACTCAAATGTCATATTCTCCCTTTTCTTTTCTCTGCACCCATCCTCCCCCTGCCAGGGCTAGTCCCAGTCTCCTTTGTGCTCCCAGCTCCCTTTCTTCATGCCCTTTATGTAAAGAATAGTACTGCATTAGCATTGTCCCTTTATATGCTCATCTCTCCTACTTGCAGAACCTTAGAGGAAGAGGCTAAATCACATCATCATCTTCTCCTCCTCATCGGGCACTTGGCATCAAGTGGATGTTGAACTGTGTTTTATGGACCATGATCTGTGCCAAGGCAATTGCAAGCTATTTGCAAGCAATTGCAAATGTATTTCCTTTCCTAGCCCTCAAAGGCAAAGGTGGGCCAATGTGCAAGGTGACAGGGAACAAGGGAAGGTGGCGGGGAACTGTGTATGTGTGTGTGCTTATGGTGTATGTCCTGGGAGGGAGGAGGGTGTTTGTCAATCCCCAGCCCACACACAGAGAAAATAACTTCTGCTCTTGAAAGATTAATTGGCCTGCAGAAGGTGGGAAGTGAGCGGCCGCTGGGATGAAGGGGAGGGTGTGGTGTGTCTAGGTAGCAAAGGCACCTGTGGCTGCAGCCACTCCCTCCATCCCCCCTCCTGTTCTGAGCCTGGCTCCTGGCTGACCTGGGACCCAGGAGGAGGGAGTTATCACTGACTTAAGGTTTAGAGGGTGTAGGCTAGAGGCCACAGTGTCTAAGAGCTGTCTCCCATTTGCCCACCAGGTTTATCCATGGAGGGATAGAGAAGACGAAGAGGCAAAGACTTCTGCCTGGGAAAAGGAAGACCAATTTGCAGCTCTCCTCTCTAGACCTGGTTTATGTGGGGAGAGGCAGGGTTGGGGTCTCAGAGTCCCTGGGAGAAGAGACTAGCCATCCATTTTGGGGTTGTACTCTATGACCCAGGGGCAGGAGAGCATCTCTAAGGACTGGGTCAGAAGTCGCCTTCATGGAACCACAGTCTTTAGTATATCTGTCCCTCTCTCTTACCTTCTTCCTCTGAATTAGAAGGCAGTGCCCAGAGAGGTATGAGGAAAAGCAGAGGGAACGAGAGCGTAAGAGAGGGGAACTAGGGGAAGGCAAAGACATTGCGATAACAACTCCTTACGTCAGTGATGTTTCAGTGACCCTTGTATGTTGTGCTATTGTATTGTCACAACCATGGTAGGTAGGCAAGTCAGGAATCATCAGCTAACATCGTGGCAGAGCAGGTAACTGAAATTGGGTTTTCACCTATACATTTCATCCCTGAAGGGCCCTAGCTCTCCCGTGGGGATGCTCATGGGCATGAGAAAGTTGGCAGAGGCGACCTGAGTGGCCCTCAGGTTAGCTCAGAACTCAAGATAGTCACTGGCCAATGAAGTCCATGGTCGGGGTGAGGTGGGGGTACGGTGGGGAGGAGAGGAAGAGTGGCAGTGATGGTGTCTCTTGGAAGAACCTTGTGCCCGATGCCTTGGTTGATCCCACAGCTTGATCAAGAAGGAGTTAGGTGGGCTGGCCCAGTGGCACAGCGGTTGAGTTAGTATGCTCCACTTCAGTGGCCCAGGGTTTGCTGGTTTGGATGCTGGGCGCAGACCTATGCACCGCTTATCAAGCCATGCTGTGACAGGCATCACATATATAAAATAGAGGAAGATGGGCACAGACGTTAGCTCAGAGCCCATCTTCCTCAGAAAAAAGAGGAGGATTGGTGGCAGATGTTAGCTTAGGGTTAATCTTCCTCAAAAAAATAGAAGGAGTTAGGCAATCAACTCCAGCAGGATGGAGAAAAGCAAAAGTGTCGTTGAGAAACCAGCCCATTAAGAACCATTCGCACATGCGCTCACAAGCAGACCCCCTCACAGATGCCTGGCACTGCATAGGTAAGTGGGGACATGCGTGCTCAGTCCCTCCAGCTGCAGCCTGGCCTTGCACAAGCCCCCCACTCCCTCAGGCCCCATGGGCATAAGTGCCGCCTCCTCCATGTTGGGGACAACAAAGAAGAGGTACAAGCAAAGGGAAGTGGGTGTGCCCAGTCCTCCCCCGGGTGGCTCTGCCTGGCTGCCCTCCCAAGGCAGACAGAGGGGGCCACTTACCCAACCTTCTCGTTTGATGTGACACCATTCAGTGCTACCTGATCAAAGTATTTCTTTCCTTGTTCATTTCTCATTTTTTCCTCATTAGCCTTTAACAAACAAGTGGGCCTGGCCCAGGAAAGTAAGTGATCCTTGAGCCCACGTAAGGCACTTTCTCAGCTTTTCATTGAGTGATCTCAGGTGTGTGAAGGGACCTTCTGGACACCACAGTTTGCCCTGTCTTTGCCATGCCATCCCACCACAGGGACCTACAAGTCAGCTCTTTCTTCACTCATCTCCCCTTCCCTTCTCCCTTCCCTCAGCTTCAGTGCTTTAGCTCTTATCTTTCATTTCTTCTGTGTAGTACAAGAGAGGGACATTGACCTCTGCCCTTCATTCCCGAGGCTACAGGCAAAGCCATTCCTCAGGGGCGACATAACCACTCTTACCAGAACCGTGTCAATAAAATACTTTGCAAACAGTTGGGAGAGGACATATTTTTAAAGTCCAATGACACCTGTGAGAACAAGACCTTCCATGGCCTCCTTGCCTCTGGCCTGTGCAGCCCACAGAAGCAAGAATTTTCTATGTTCTGTATTCTGAAGTGACTGGGAAGGGGAAAGGCAGGAGGGGAGAACGGTAATCATTTGGGGTTACCTGAAGTATTCTTGAGGCAGGAACAGCAGTCTTTCTCTTACTTTATTCCTCATGCCTGTCTCCAAAGCCCCATAAATAAGCCTTGCAGCTTCCTGGCAGGACAAGAACATCTGCCAGCTGTTTGAACCCTTCAGCACATGGTTCACTTACCCCATCTGCCGCAGGGTACAGCAACATCTGTGTGTGCTTCTTCTCCTTTCCCACTTGGGCTCCAGAGGGCAGCCGTAGAATCTTGTAGATTGCTTCTTTCAGACGACACCACATCCCAGATGGTTCAGGAGGCTCTGTCCCAGAGCCTTGCTGATGGAGTTCTTCCCCTCTTTTCCCCTTCTTCATAATATTCCACATCTCCTCTTCCTTATCCTCCTCCTTCTTTCTTCTCTCCTTGTCTCTCTGTCTCTCTGTGTCTTTCTCACACACACAGAAGTATATTTAAGCTGAGAAAATTTCCCTATAATCACTTACATTTGCATTGGTGTTTATTCTTTTCAAAGTGTTTCCGCACACATTATATAGGTGGAAAAATTCCACACATATTTGACAAGTAAAAATAACTGGAGTATGGCCAGTAGGAGAACTTAGAATAAAAACAGGTGAATCATTCGTAGATTCAGTTAGTGACTATTTGTTACACACTACATTGTCCCAGGAATTATGCCAGGCACTGAGAACACAATGATGAATAAGTGGGCACTATCTTTGAATCTGTGTAACTACAGTCTACTGATGAAGGCAGACATTAACTTATTAAACAAATAAGTACAATAGAGTGCAGGATGTATAATAAAAAAGAAACTATAGATGGCCTGGAAACACAAAACAGGTGGACTCTAACATAGCCTGTGAGTCAGGGACCTCCCTCAAACACACACACAAACACGCAGCCAATGTATTATCCTGTTAGGCTGAGAACAGCAGGATAAATAGAAGTTACAAAGATGGAAGGGAGAGTGGGTGCAGAGAGGTGGAAAGGCCCAGAAGTTGTGAAGGCCAAGAAGAAGGAGAATATAGCACCATCCAGGAACTCATAATAATTCAGCTAGGTGAACTAGAGTGCAAGAGGTGTGAGGTATGAGGAGCCTGGAGGGGTTGCCGGGAGTCGCTTCAAGGAAGAATTTCCAGAAGATCACAGTTTGAGGCAGGAGTTGCATCTTACACGATCAGCTTGGCTGTAGTGTCAAGTGTGGACTGCAGAAGTCCAAGGCTTCATGCAAGGAGAGCAGTTAACGAACCTACTCCTGTAATGCAGGCGGGAGATGATGGTGGCCCATTTTAGAATAACGGTAGTAGGACTCGGAGAACCAGAGGTAGTGAATAGTGAAAGTTTTTTTTTACGTTATATTGGTATGGAATTGTCTTCAAAATATGCTAAATGAAAAAAGCAAGAATTATTTTTCTAATATCCTATACTCTTCTATGTGTTGTTAGAAGCGTATATACATAAATATGCTTGGATATGCTTAGAGTATTTTTGGAAGGAGAAGAACGAATTTTTATTCATGAATGTCTCTGAGGAGAATACCTCCAGGGCTAGGACAGAGGTAGGAAAGCATTTTTTCCCTGTGTATCTTGTGTGCTCTTTGAATTTTCACCATTTGATGCATTATCTAACCAAATTTATTATTTTTCAAATAACAGGGAATAGAGTTCACAAGACTTGAGATTTACTGGATACGATCTCAAGAATTAAAGACAGCAGTGTTGAGGACCATGCCTAGGATTCTAGCTTAGGCAACCTGGCCTACTATTTGGTTGGGAAGACTGGTGGAGGAGCAGGTTTGGTGAGGAAGAAAAGCTGTGCAGTTTGGCACACAGTGAGTTTGAGGTGTGTGTAAATTATCCTGGTAGAGCTGTCCAACAGATAGGTGTCCAAGCTGTTCATGCCTGGAGCTCAAGACAATCTACACGGAGATAGCGAGTTGGGAATAGTGAACCTGTGCATGTTAATATAATCTATGGAAGTAGGTTGGACTGTCCAGGTGGTGAGGAAAACAGAGCCTTGTGGACCAAAAATATTTAAGGGATTGGTAGACAGAAGAGAAGCAGACAGAGTGGTGGGAGTGTGTGGCACTAGACATGCTGAGAGGTGATGAGTGGTTGACTAAAATCTGAATGCTACAGAGAATTCAAGCAAGATTGAGACTACTCGGTGGGATTAGCCACAGCTAGATAACCTTGTGGGAGTGCTATCAATAGCATGAAGAGGTAAGGTCAAATCACAATGGGCTGAGGATGCTGTGTGAGGGCAGTAGACAATGGAGTCTTTTCTTAAGAAATTTGGCCCTGAAAAGGGAATAAAAAATGATAGGGCACTAGCTGAAAGGAGAGGTGGGGATTGAGGGAGGGCGTAGGCAATTTCTTTGAAGATGGAAAAGAATAGAGCATGGTTATTTGCTGACCCTTAGAGCTAGCTGAGAGGGAGAGGTTGAAGATACACAAATGAGAAGAGTTAGAGGAGACAAGCGATGGACACAGCTGTCTGAAGAGACAGAAAGAAAACTGAATTTGGAACACAGATGGGAGTTTAGCTTTACACAGGCAAGGAAGTGCTTCCATTACAAAAGAAAATAAGAAGAATCCAGGTGACTGAGCAAATAAGAGGAATCACAGTGACTGAGTATTTTTAGACACCATACCTCCTGTGTACCAGCATGTGAGTGTGTGCATGCACATTCATGTGGTCCCTCACTGTTCCACACTCATCTGTGCTTTCCATGAGTAGCTGGATGAACCTGCCTGTAGTTTCGCAAATCCCCCTTAAACACTTTGCTATTCCAGACCACAGTGGTCTTAAAAGTCTTTTATGGCTTTTTAGTGAGGGTGATAATAAGGCTGGGATGAGAAGTAGAGGGATGGAGACAAGAGGGAGGCTGTGCAAGAGCCCCTGTAATGGGTGCCCTGGACACTTAGCTCCCAGTTTCCTTCCTGGAGAGGGATAGCCCATCCTCTGTTTTTGCTGTTCACCCCACAACTCAGCACAGGGGCAAAGGGAGATAGGGGTGAAGGATATCTGCTGCTGGAGGCATAGGTGGTAGCCTGCTACCTCCAGGCACAAGGATGATTAGCTGCCAATGAGCCACCTGAGGGACAGACCACGGACAGTCCCATAACTGGGCCATTCAAGCATAGAAAGGCATAATTTACCACACATGCATAAAAACACACCAGGATGCAAACGAGATATAAATACTTTAGACTCTAAGACTCAAAAAGCAAGGATAAGGCAACTCAAAAATGACAACAAAAAACTCAACACAATTCAAAAATGGGCAAAGGACTTGAATAGACATTTCTCAAAAAAAAAAAAAAAAAGATATACAAATGGCCAATAAGCACATGAAAAATGTTCAATGTCATTAGTCATTAGGGAAATGCAAATCAAAACCTCAATGAGATACCACTTCATACCTATTAGGATGGCTAGTATCAAAAAAACCAGAAAGTAGCAAGTGTTGGTGAGGATGTAGAGAAATTGGAAGCCCTGTGCATTGCTGGAGGAAATGTAAAATAGTGTAGCCACTGTGGAAAACAGTATGGCAGTTCCCAAAAAAATTAAACAGAATTGCCATATGACGGCTAGTCTGGTAGTGTAGTGATTAAGTTCATGCACTCTGCTTCAGCAGCCTGGGTTTTGGGGGTTTGGATCCCAGACATGGACTCACACTGGTCAAACCATGCTTTGGTGGCATCCCACATACCAAATAGAGGAAGACTGGCACAGATGTTAGCTCAGGGACAATCTTCCTCAAGCAAAAAGAGGAAAATTAGCAAGAGACGTTAGCTCAGGCCAATCTTTCTCACCAAAAAAGAAAAAAAAAAAAGTAAATAAAATATTCATCTCTCTTAGGGCCCTCTTATTTAAAAAAAAAAAAAAAAAGCAGAAAACAGAATCGCCACAAGATCTAGCAATTCCACTTCTAGGTATACACCCAAAGGAATTCAAAACAGGGACTTGAACAGAAAATTGTACACTAGTGTTCATACTCGTATTGCTAACAATAGCCAAAAGGTGGAAACACACAAATGTTCATCAGTGGATGAATGGATAAACAAAATGTGGTACATACATTCAATGAGATATTATTTGGCCTTTAAAAAGGAATGAAATTCCGATACATGCTAAACATGGATGAATCTTGAAAATATTATGCTAAGTGAAATAAGTCAGACACAATAGGATTAAAGTTGTATGATTTCACTTATGTAAGGTACCTAGAGCAGTCAAATTCATAGACACAAAGTAGAATATTGGTGATCAAGGGTTGTGGAAAGGTGAGAGTGGGGAGTTAATGTTTAACGGGTGCAAGAGTTTCAATTTAGGATGATAGAAAAGTTCTATAAATGACTAATAGTGCTGGTTTGACAACAATGTGAATGTACTTAATGCCACTGAATTGTATATCTAAAAGTGCTTAAAATGGTAATTTTATGTTATGTGTATCTTAACACAATAAATTTCTTTGAAAAGATAAAGCAAATACAAAGAACCTTTCTTCTTGTGGTTTTCTAGCTGGGGTTTGGTTACTAGGTGGCAACAGAGTCCTACACGGGTGTAGGGAAAAGAAAAGGACCACAATGCCATGCCTGGCTCTTCCCACATTAAGCCGTGTGGAACCAGGCAGTCTTCACAGATTATCACTTTCTAGTGCCCACTTGGGGCAGAAAGAGAGATGATCCAGACACTAGTCTAGCATTCCTACTTTGGGTCTTTAGATGCCAAGTACAACTTTGATCAAAAAGACACCTTCTTTTCCCAAGATATGGGACTTTCAAGAACCCAGAAGATGTGTGGGACAACAGATGCCGTTTGCTCATCTCCAGAAATGCTGATGTGCAAGGTGAGATATGGCTTTTAGGAATTATTCTGTCTACTCCTTCCCATGATTAACAGGCATGAAAGTTAGAAAGTTGCATAAGCAAGTGTCTGCCTCTCTGCACCCCACCTCAGGTCCCCCTGGAGTCAGGTCAACAGTAACAAGGATCCTAGTCATAAACGATAGATATTTTCCTCTCCATCCTCCTCGCCAAGGTCCAGTCCAAGATTCAAGTGCCCCAGGGTGTTGCGACGAAGGATCTCCCAGCCCCGGTGACTGCTGCTGCTGCGGGATGTGTTCCGGGACAGGGAGGGAGTTGGGAGGAAGAGGGAGGTTCTGGCTTGGGTCCCACTTTCAACCACAGAGGGCTGTTTCTCAGAAAGATTCTCTTGTCCATCCTCCTTGTCTGAGCTCTTGAAAGCTTCCACATAGCGAAGCACTCGCAAAGGATTTTGATCATGGTGGTTCTCAACTCTAAGGAGGGGAAAGGGGAAAGGTCTCAGTTGAGGTGGGGAAAGATGGGCCATGGGGAGAAGTAGAGGTGAAGCACATGTAGGAGACAGGATCAAGAGGAAAGGAAAAGGAAGGGACCAGAATTGAAGCCAAAAGATCATGTAGGATGAAGTGAAGGGAAGTGCAGTGGAACGGAGGATAACCTGGATGGAGGCCAAAGAGGTAAGCAATCAAGATTTGGAGGGTGGTAGGGCTTGTGCATGCGCGTGATTGGGGGGATATGCATAAATATGAAAGAGGAAACCCAGCCAATTAAAAGATAAATGTATTACAAGGGTGAGGAGATGCAGTTAAGGAAATAAATGAGAGAGGAGAGCCAGGTCAGGAGCCGAAGGTAGACTAGGATGGAGGATGTTAGTCTTGAGGCAAGAATATATTAAAAATGGGGGTGAGGTGGGAACAAGACTAGAACACGTAACGCATGCCTGCATCTGAGGAGCATGAACACATATCTGTAGCCTTTCACACATTTCTGCCCTGATGTACTCACAGCCAGGCATTGGCCATCAGCGTTCTTTTTATCCCTCTACTTCAGCTTCACTCTCCTCCTCTAAACAGGTTAATGCAGTCTCAATTTATAGAGTGATGACGTCTCCTTTTGGTCCAATTTAAGAACTCAAGATTGAAGAGGGGGGTGATAAATGTGGGACTGGTCACCCTTGTTCCCATGGCCTCATACATATTGGCAGTTGACACATATACACTGTTACTCACCGCAGGAACCAGCGGTCCCCCAGCCCATACTTGCACCCGCAGATCCCAGAGCGAGGCCACAGGAAGCGAGGCAGTTTCCGCTCCAACATCACCGTGGTGGCCACGACCTGGAAGGAGGTGAGAGGTAGAGGAAGAACTCAGAAAGAGCCATGAGGTTCAGAGAACACTGAAGCCACCAACAGAGGGAACTAAAAGGAGCCTGTGGGATGAGGACACCAGAGATCAGTGGAGATGACAGCCATTCATTCATCCCCTAGTCTGTGCCAGGCATCATGCTGCCTGCTTTCCCCACCATTCATCATAAAAGGAAAGAGGATATTTTATGAGTGTTTTGAATAAAACAATGACCCCTACATTACGATTCAGATTCATGGAAAATGAGTCATTCCAAACTAATCTCATTTACTTTTTCATAGGAAAGCCACAGGACAATTATCTTAATTTAATTAAAATGATTAAACAGAATATCTAAGGTCTTGGGGATGAAATGATGCTGCTGGTGTTCAGGGAATTTGCAGCAAATTAAATATCCACATCCTAGAAAGGAAAAGGGTGAGTTAATGATCACAAACCTGGCGGGGAAAATTCTAGTGGCACGTCACATGTTCCATCTTTTGCCCAGCCCACATTAATTACTTAGATGAAACACAGAAGACAAGCTTATCAAATATGCCTTTGACACAAAACTGTAATGTAATATGTGAGGTGACAGAAGCATTATAAAAATGATCTCACCAGACTGGAATGCTAGTCAAACCACCAATGAGAGGAAATTTAAGAAAACCAAATGTAACATTCTACATTTATTTTTAAGACTATAGTATCTGTGTAAGTACAGGAAAATGGTAAAGGAACTTAGCTAAGTAAGTCATGTAACAAAGATGTACGGGTTCTAGTCGATCATAAGCTTAATAAGGGCCATTGTGTATTTGCTGAAACACCTGACTCAATTTTAAGTGCTATTTATAGTGTAGTATCCAAAGCAAGAAAAGGCATGGCCCCTTTTAAAACGCATTCCTCTAATCATATCAGGGATCATTCTAGTTTCAGAAGGACCATGATCTATTAGGCCATGAACAGAAGGGTGCAGCCAGGATGGATTGTGGCCAGGAAGCTTTATTAATTGAAGGAACTAGTAATCCTTAAAATAGCCTAATTCTTCACTTCCTATGCTTCTACTCCCCAACTTTCTTAGTACTCCACGCATCTCTCGGCCTTCTCTCAGTTTCTTACTTATACCAAATTCCCTCCAACCTCAGGACTTTCAATCATTCTCTTCCCTTCCCCCAGAAAGCTTTTCTCCTTCTTTACTTTGAAAAGGACAGTTACTGTTTCTCTGTGTACCTTTAATCAGCCCCTACTTTCTTCTGGTAACAGAACCCATCTTTCATTTAGAGAATCACTCCTTCGCTCCTCTCAGTCCATCAGTTAGAGTAGACTGGACTGAACACAATCAATTAGTCTACTCTTCCCCAGAAATTCACGACCACCACGACTACCACTCTCCAGTCCTTGGCCTTAACCTTAAATTCAAGGATGCATCTATGACTCAAATTTATTGCAATGAAATGGAATCTAGACTTGGTTCACTGGGGGAAAGACACTTTTAAAGGCTATATATTTCACAACATCAGGAGGCACACAGAATACAATGTGAATGGGGCCCTTAGGATTGAGTAATGAAGTATACCTGCTCCTTTCCTTGGGAGTTTAGGACTTCTGTAAACTATCTCACCAACATGATGGGAGAGACTGACTTAGAAGAGAGTAAGGACAAAAGAGAGCAGAACAGAGAAACTGATGTAATGTGTGAAATGGAGATCTGGGTTCTGGCCACACACGCTAAAGCGAGTTTAATGCTTTAAACTTTCAAGTTATGAGGAGCAACACATCCTCCTCCCACTGCCTTTTTAAAAAGTCTATTTGAGTTTGGTTTTCTGTCCCTGTAGCCAAAACTTCAGATTAATAAAAACCCTAACATCCATCCTTTCCCCTTATTCTTCTTAACTGGCTAATTCTTACCCATGTTTAGGAGCTCATCTTAAATGTCACTCCATCAGGAAACCATTTTCTACCTTTCCAGTCAGTCTCTTTTGTTGAATGCTGCTTTTAGCATCTTCTACTTCCCTATGACACTTTTATAACTATAATTGTATAGCCTTCTGTGAAGTCACTTGTTTCTCTGTCTTCCCAACCAGGCTGTAAGCTCCATGAGAGCATAGACTGTATCTGTTGTGTCCACACTTGTGTCCTCAG